GAGTGGTTTGCCCGGCGCTAGAGCCGTGCTGCTGGAGCTGGAGGTGCTACTCTTGCTGCTGACCCTGGGGTCGGCACTGGAGTTACTAGAGCCACTGGTCTTGGAGGTGCTCGTACTAGCGGTAGTGGAGCTGGTGGGACTTGGGGAGCTGCTGGGGCAGCTGGAGCTGGTGCTTCTGGAGGTAGTGGAGGTACTGGAGCTACTGGGCCTGGAGATGCTCCTTGTGCTGGAGCTGCTGGCGGTACTAGAGTTGGCGGTCCTGGTGGAGTTGGAGCTGCTGGAGCTGGAGCCGTTGGGGGTGCTGGCGCAGGAGGTGCTTCTCGTGCTGGTTCTTCTGAGGGTGCTGGAGTTGGCGCTGTTGAAGCTGGAGGTGCTGTTGGCGCTGGTGCTGTCGCTGGGGGTAGTGTTGCTGTCCCTGCTTGTCATGGAGGCGCTACGCGGCCGCGGCCGTACTTCATTCCGCTCCTTGACCAGGTTCTTCGTCTTCCGCCTTCTACTGGTCATGCTCCTCCCTTAGTGTGTCCACAGCCTGTCCTGTCGAAGTCACAATTACAGCCCGCCTCCCCCCTGCTTGCTCCTTCTCCCTACACTGGTCCTACTAGAGGTCTTGATGAGCGTCTTGAGCCTGCGTCTCGTCCTGCGTCGCCTGTTTGTGCTGCTCTCACTAGTAGTCGTGTTCCGCGTCTGCGTCCTCCTACGGTCCTAGGCACACACCAGATGGCACAGCGTCCTTCCACTGCTCCTCTGCGTGTCCCGTTGCCATCTCCTCCAGAGTCCTCTCTTACTATTCTTGCTAACCCGGAGTCCGACTCTCTTCGTGCTGCCATTCCTACTGTTACACGTCTCTTGGCTACTGTTGTCACTGACCCTTCCTTTGAGTCCACTACTGCGTCTGCCTTAGTTGCTGAGCTTGTCAACTTTGCTGCTCGCTGTTGTCTAGACTACGCCGCTAGTCTCGTTGCTGAGTCCGAGTCTGTCTGTCCTCCGTCCGTCGGGGGTGAGTGTGCTCTTAGGACGGACGTCCTCGAGGATAGGCAGGATGAGTTCCATTGTTTTGCTGCTGCTTTTTCTCATCTCGTGTCCACGCTGATTCCCCCTAAGGGAGACCCAGATGCACCAGACATCCCGACTGCTTGATCGTACGCTGAGGCGATCAAGGGTCCCTACTCCTCACAGTGGCATTCAATCATGGCAGGAGAGATGGCTTCCTGGAAGTCCACAGGCACCTACGTCGAGGAGGTTCCCCCACCTGGGGCAAACATCGTCAGTGGCATGTGGATCTATAGGGTGAAGCAGCCTCCAAGTTCTCCGCCTATCTTCAAGGCGCGTTACGTGGCTCGAGGCTTCAGTCAGCGGCAGGGAGTTGACTACTTTGAGACCTTCTCTCCCACCCCGAAGATGACCACTCTTCGGGTGCTGCTGCACATAGCCGCTCAGCGCGACTACGAGCTTCACTCTCTTGATTTGAGCACAGCTTTCCTGCAGGGTAGCCTGCACGAGGAGATCTGGCTGCGCCGCCCACCTGGCTTCACTGGGTCGTTTCCTCCTGGTACCCAGTGGAGCCTCGGGCGGCCAGTCTACGGTCTCCGCCAGGCGCCCCGTGAGTGGCACGACACACTGAGGACTACACTTGCGGCTCTTGGGTTTGCTCCTTCTAATGCCAACTCGTCGCTGTTTCTGCGCACTAACACCTCCTTGCCGCCGTTCTACATCCTCGTGTACGCCAACGACTTGGTCTTTGCCACTGCTGACACTACTGGACTAGCCGACGTGAAGTCCGAGCTGTAGAAGAGACACACGTGCACACACCTGGGTGAACTGCGCAGCTACCTTGGCTTGCAGATCACCCGGGACAGAGCACAGCGCACCATTGCCCTGTCTCAGTCACACATGGTGCAGCAGGTCCTTCAGCGCTTCGACTTCACGTACTCCTCGCCTCAGGCCACTCCTCTGTCTACTCAGCACTCGCTCTCAGCTTTTCCTTCGGATGAGTCCGTAGAGCCGAGTGGCCCGTACCTAGAGCTTGTTGGATGCCTCATATACCTGATGACCTGCACACGACCTGACCTTGCATACCCTCTTAGCATCTTGGCACGCTATGTTGCTTCTGGTAGACACAGGCCAGAGCACATGGCTGCAGCGAAGAGGGTGTTGCGCTACTTGTGGAGTACGTCGGGGATGGGGCTAGTGCTTGGAGGGCGACGTCGAGTGGTCCTCACAGGTCACGTAGACGCTTCTTGGCCCGACGACCAGGCTCTGCAGCGGTCGTTACAGGTTTACACCTTCAGCCTCGGCTCCGGCTCTATTTCGTGGCGGTCTACCCGCTCGTCTTCTGTTCTCAACTCCAGCTGTGAGGCTGAGATCTACGCGGGGGCCATGGCTGCACAGGAGCTACGCCGGCTCACCTACCTGCTGATTGACCTAGGAGAGTCGCCTCGTTCTCCTCCAGTGCTGTATGTAGACAACAAGGCCATGCTGGCCTTGTGTCGGGAGCAGAGACTAGAGCACAGAACGAAGCACATTGCTCTTTGCTACTTCCTTGCTCGTGAGCTGCAGTAGCATGGTCAGCTGCGCCTTGCTTACGTGGCCTCTGAGGCCAACACTGCTGACATCTTTACAAAGGCACTTCCGCCTTGTGATCATCAGCGCTTCTGTACGATGCTAGGTCTTGTGCCTACTTGGCCTCACTTGCTCACTTCTTGACCTTGCTTGTACTGTAATCTTTCTATACCTGCACTTGCTTGTTTACCTTTATATATGATCTTGCATGTGAACTGGCCTTGTGGCCTTGAACTTGTGCTCAAAATGTGTGGTGACGTTGTGATCCACCCTGAGCTTGCTTTGCTTTGCTTGACTGGTCCTGTGACCTCTTGTTCTCCCCCACTTTGCCTATGGGGGTGTGTCAAAATCATATTATATAGCTTTTGTAGGTTATAGTGGGTATACAGTATGGGGTACAGTTTCCTAGGGTTTCGTACTTGTACCCAACTTTGTGCTAGTTCATTTCATTCCTCAATTCTCACAAAGGTCTGCCCGGAACTGCTACCACATGGTTTCACCCTCGAAAATTCTACTGTTGCTTTCGAGCCATTCGAGATCTGGACCGCACATTAATGTTGTCACGAGACGACACCGTCGTACTCCGTCATCGACCATCCGATCGCCGCGAAATAATTTTCAATCGTTGCGAGCCATCACCTGACATCGGATATCCTATCGCTAGGGTTGAACGATTCCGGCGAGCGAAGCTTCGGAACCTCAAATTGACGCTGTGACTGCTGCGAAGTTACCAAAGCAGGAATGTTCATGGTCGAGAGGAGTTGCGCAACGCGTTGGAGTTCATTTCGCAGCTGCGCGTTCTCCAATCGCGACCATTCGGTCGTCGCTCGCATCTCCGCTTCCATCTTGGTGATTTGTGCGAAGAGCTGTTGCATAATGTCGTTGGTCGCTGGCGAACCCATCCTGTTCAGAAACCACGCGAGGGGGTTGATTTGAAAAACGTTGAACTGGTACTTACCAGAAATCGGCGTCGAATCGGTCGCCACTGGCGGTTTTTCGAGGCGATTGTTTCCGCGACCGATGCTTAGCCGAGAGTTGTCGAGTGAGAAAGGCTCTGATTACCAAGTGTCACAAGATCGAATTCTCAATCGAAACTTGTCACTAAAACTGAATACAAGGCGTTTTTATACTCGGAAAATACAAAGATAAACGAGATAAAATGAACTTTCGTAAACACGCCATTTCCCGAAACTACAATCACAAGTGCGCACAAGCACGCAAGGCTATTGGCACTTGGGATTACGCCCAGATTACACCGTATACACCACTGTCGGTGGTGTCGGTGCCGTATAATAGATATGTCGGTAGGAAAAGTAAGAAGTAAGAGGAATAAATAGAAGGCTCTAGAAAATTGAATAGTAAGCCGATTGAGATGAAATAAAGACCAAAATGAAGAGGAGAAAAGGGAGAATAAGATCAAGGAAATATATAATAATGATGAAGTATTATAACGGGGACGTCCTCTAACACTTCCCCCTTTCAAAGATGGGTGGTAGAAATAACACCCTGCTTGACAAGGTAGTCCCGGAGAGGACGACGGGCGTAATGTGATGCCATGTGGTGTCATGTGATTCTATGTGGTGCCCCACCCGTGCACACAGAATCGTGGGCTACCCCGCCTGTGCTTGGGGTAGATGACCTTGTGATTGGTTATGCCACGCTAGAACACAGCTCGGCCCTCCTTCAGCTCCCATGGAATCTACACGCTGGCAATGACATAGATTTCAATGCACACGCTGTTCTACACAAGGATATTGAATAATGATCGAGAGGAAAAGTCTGGAGGAGTGTAAGGACTGCTCCAGAGGAACATGAGACATGCACCAACAAGCACTAATCATATATTCAGGCTAAAGTAATGAGATAATTTTCTAGAACAACCGCCCTTTCCCTTGCTCTCCAACTTGTCCAATTCATGTTCACGTAGCATGTGCCATCACAAATCAGTTCGGCCTCACCTCATCTTCGGCTTTCCGGAAGTAGTTGCTGCTTAGGTCGACAGGGTCAAGATAACATATGTCGATGCTACCCAGTGCGCCATGCACAGTCAAAATGGGCAGTCTAGAAAGCTGCTTGGCGACGCCGCTGGCTTTGCTAATGTACATGTTGCATGTATTGAGGAAGAATTCGGCATTCAAGTTGTGTAGCTTGTATTCGCGTATTCCATCCTGATTGTATAACGGAGATGTGCAACGGGTTTCAGAGGTTGAGTTTTGGGTTTCAGGAGATTGATAAGCAAATTTTGGCTGGCGAAATGGATACGAGATGATGTGCCACTTGTGTTCGAAGCATCACACATAGGTTCGTTCAAATGAGCGTCATTAATGTTGTCTGCATAAAAGCATTATCTCCTTTGGCATACTGATATGTCACCGCTGTACAAACTACCACATCTTGCTCTTGCCACACTCGTGCTGACCTGGCTCATTTTCCCAAAGAAGATGAATCGTATGAGGCGGTACCAGTCAAACTAAAACTTTCCGAATTGGAATAATATCTTATTGCGAACGATACACGGCGTATAACAGGGCGCCATTAGGTTAAAGCTCGGAGTGTTGTACATCGAAACACGTGGCGTCCAGGCCCTTAACTCGGTTGAACAATATGTGAGGATCTAGGATCAAGCTCAGATTAGAGAGTTTGAATTCAATGATCCACCTGGGTACAACACGAGGCTATATATAGGCTCGACATAAGGCAAGTAACCCAGGTGTTACGCGAATGTTCTGTGGGTCGTGAAGCGTCCCGAACATAACCTCCCCGAACTTAGTAGCAAGCAATTCAATGGCAACCGAAAAGGCTTGAGTTCGGTACACGTAACCTGGTTCGGTGCTATAAATATAGGAATGCACCTAACCTAGGAAATCAAGCATATCTATGCTTGATAATCCCAAGCTAGATATAGCATAATAAAGTTCAGGCAAGCTAACAAGCCAGCATGGGCCGTCGTACTCTCACACGTCCCCCCCCTCAAAGCTGGGTGGCGTGAGATACACCCTGCTTGACAAGATAGTCCTTGAGAGCACGACGTGCGTGTGAAACTCCTATGCTATAGTCTGTGTAGTCTATAGTGGGGTAGACAATATGGGGTACAACACTTTTAGGTTTTCCTACTTGTACCCACCTGTTTGCCAGTGCATTCATTCCTCGTTTCTTCACATGGTATAGAGCAGGTTCCCTAGTGGGAACGCTTCCTAGGGCCCACCACTGAAAATCGAAATACTTTTTTCTGATCGGAGCAAGAGTCGCCCCTACCCGAGGCGCGCCCCGTGGGCCACCCTCTCGTCGCGTCCCCTGCCCTTAGCGGCCAGCCGCACCCTCCTAGAGGCCCCTCTAGCAGCCCCGTTGCCACCCCTAGCGGCCCCATCGCCGCCCTTCGCGACCCCGTCGCCGCCCTTCGCGACCCCGTCGCCGCCTGTTACGGCCCTGGCGCCGCCCTTCGCGGCCCAGTCGCCGCCCTTAGCAGCCCTATCGCCGCCCTTCGAGGCCCCTCGCGTCCCCTTCGCGGCCCCGTCGCCACCCCTATTGGCCCCGACGCCGCCCTTCGCGGCCTTAACGCCGCCCCTAGCGGCCCCGTCGCCGCCCCTAGCGGCCCCGTCGCCGCCCTTCACGGCCCCGTCGCCGCCCCTAGCGGCCCCGTCGCCGCCCTTCTTGACCCCTAGCGGCCCCTTCTTGGCCCCGTCGCCACCCTTCCCGGCCCCTCCTTGGCTCAGCCGCCGCCAGCAGCAGCCGCCAGCAGCAGACGCCGCCGACAACAGCGGCGGCCGCCACCAGCAGCAGCCGTCGCCGCCGACAGCCGCGACTGCCGCTGCCACTGACAGCAGGAGCTGCCGCTGCGGTCGCGGCTCTGTCCCCGCCGACGCGCCTCGGCCCTGCCCCACCGCTTGCCGGCCCCTACCTACCAGCCCTGGTGAGAGCACTGCCGAACCACACCTACTACTCCTGCCCCTAGCCTGCTGCCACTGCTGTCATGGCTACCCCTAGCATTCTAGTCTTTGATGCTGAGGGTCGAGCTGTTGACTTTGAGGTTTGGGTCAATGCTCTACAGCTTTTCCTACAGTGCGATAGGAAGGATGGTCTCTCACTGTTCGATCTCACGTCTCGCGCCTCTGCTGCCCCTGCTGCTGATGGTGACAGCACTGTTCGCTCATAGTGGGCCACACGCGATGCTGCTGTCCGTCTTGTTGTGCGTAGTCACTTCCCGTCCACTGAGCGCGCGCACTTTAGTCAGTACAAGAGTGCTAAGACCTTGTATGATGCTGTAGTTGCACGCTACTCTTCCCTTGCCACTACTGCCCTTAGCCGCCTCATGCTGCCGTACCTGTTTCCTGACCTCGCCGCCTTTCCCATGGTCGCTGACCTCATTACGCACCTTCGCACTAGTGACACTCGCTACTTGCGCTTCCTGCTGAGTTCTGCGCCAAGAACACCACCCCCCCCCCCCCAAGTACATCACCCTCTACAACATAGTCACCCGACTCCCTGACTCCCTTCGCTCGGTCAGGGACCACTTCCTCTCTGTTTGCCCCACCACACTCACTGTTGACCTCCTCGAGGAGCGCCTCCTGGCAGCTGAGAAAAGTATAGTCGCTGTAGGAGCCTCTCGTGGTGACCCTTGTGCCCCCATCTTTGAGGGGTGCTCCCCCTCCCCCCTTTTGCCCTCTGTTACCTCTGCTGCTGCCGTCGACTTGGTTGGCACCGAGTCGGTCGGTGCTGCGTCTGCCCCTAGCAAACGACGCCGCACCGGCAAGGGCAAGGGGGGCAAGGGTGCTGGAGGGGCTAGCGGGGGGGGTGGAGGTGGCGGTGGAGGCGGCGGAGGGAGTGGGGGTGGCGGTGGGAGTGGTGGCGGGGGTGGGGGCTTCGGTGGCGGCGGTGGAGGCGGAGGCGTTGGCGGCGGTGCCGATGGGAGCGGAGGAGGAGGCGATGGCGGCGGTGGCGGAGGTGGCGGCGGCGAAGGTGTCGGGGTGGCTCTGCATTGTGGGGCGGCTTCGGTGGTGGGCAGCGCCAGCAGCAGCAGCAGCGCACTCGTGAGGCCCCGCCCCCCCAGCAGCTTCGTGAGTGGTACACTGCGCGTCAGCGGGGTGGGGGTGCTGGTCCTTGTGCCTACGTCCTGCGTTCCGGCGACCGCACTGGTGAGCCATGCGGTGGCCCGCACTCCACCCAGCGCTGCTTCGGCCGCCTGACGGATGCTTGGCGTCTCCAGTTCCCTGACGCCACTGAGATCCCCCGCTGGGGAGAGCTGCTTAGGTCGGGGTTGCTATCTTTGATCTCGATTATGATGCTATTCTTGCTGCCATGTATGCTGTGTCTACTAGTGATGAGGGTGACTGTTACCTGTGTGTTCCGCCTGACCCGGGCATTGAGGTTGCTGCTCTAGGTGCTGGTGAGGCTGTTGCTCTAGGTGCTAGTGCGTCTACTGCCCGAGGTACTGATGCGTCTGCTCTCTCAAGTACCACGTCGGCTCAGGCCTTACCCACCTACACCGTTGACTCGGGAGCTTCCCGCTCCTTCTTTCGCGACCGCACCACGCTTACGCCGCTTAGTCGGCCAGTTGCGGTCTCCCTGGCGGACCCCTTTGGGGGACCTGTCCTTGCCCACTTCTCCACTGTCTTACCGTGTCCGGCGGCCCCCTCTGGCACCCTGAGAGGTCTCTACCTCCACTCGTTCTCTACGAACTTGGTGAGTGGTGCTGATCTACATGATGGGGGGGCTGACCTGTTCACTCCTGCGAGTCAGCGGGTGACCCACTATACGTGTGCTCGGACGGGCCGACACTTGGCCACGTTTACCTCGTCACTCGGGGTCGAGCTTGTATACACTGACTATTGAGTCTCCTCCGGTTGCTGAGTCTGTTCAGGTAGCTGCGTCGGGTCAGGTGTTTGCTGCAGCGTCCAGGTCTGGTCCTGACTCTGCTCCCTACTCATGTCGTCCCCTGTCCCACCAGACTCTCCTCTAGCACCACCGCCTTGGTCACCCCTCCCTGCCTCGTCTCCGAGGCATGGCGTTTGGTGTCCTTGTCTCTGGTCTCCCCCGGTCCCTCCCTCCCCTCCCTCCGGGGCCTGCCCCTTCCTATCGAGGGGCGGCAGCGCGCCACCCCTCACTCCTCCGAGTTTCCTTAGACAGAGGCTCCGCTGCAGACTCTACACATGGACGTGTGGGGCCTCGCCCGCGTCCGTGGCCAGGGTCATGAGCGTTACTTCCTGTTGGTGGTTGATGACTACTCGCATTACACCACGATGTTCACCTTGCGCAGCAAGGGTGACGTCGCTGAGGTGTTGATCAACTGGATCCGCGCAGCTCGTCTCCAGCTCAGAGAGAGTTTCGGCTCGGACTTTCCTGTTCTGTGTCTGCACTCTAAAGGAGGCGGGGAGTTTTCCTCTGCCCTTCTGTGAGCCTTCTGTTGTGCAAAGGGCATCCGCCAGACCTTTAGCTTCCGGCCTCTCCACAGCAAAATGGGATTGCTGAGCGCCGCATTGGCATGGTCATGGACGTCGCTCGTACGTCCATGATCCATGCGGCTGCTCCCCATTTTTGGTGGCCGTTTGCGGTTCAGTACGCTGCGCATCAGATCAACCTTCAGCCCTGAGTCTCCTTGCCAGAGACCTCCCCCACCTTGCGGTGGACGGGAAAGGTTGGCGATGCGTCTGCGTTTCGTGTCTAGGGATCTCGGGCGTTTGTCCGCGACTTGTCTGCGTCCAAAGCTGTCCCCTCGTGTTGTTCCCTGCGTCTTCCTAGGCTTCCCCTTTGATGCGCCTGGTTGGTAGTTTTACCACCCCACCTCGCGTCGTGTTCTGTCCTCCCAGAACGTCACCTTTGACGAGTCGGTGCCTTACTACCGTCTCTTCCCCTACTGCACTGCGCCCCCCCCGCCGCCGCTCTTCCTTGCGCCAGGTCCCCCTCCGGTAGACCCTCTCCCCCCTAAGGGTCCTTCCCCGTCAGGTGTGTCCCAGGTAGACGCAGTCAAGCCTGTCGAGGTAGCTGTTGACTTTGTTGCTGCTAGGGGTGCTGAGCCTGGGGGTGCTGAGTCTGGGGGTGCTGAGTCTGGGTGTGCTGAGCTAGGGGGTGCGGAGCCTGGGGGTGCGCAGCCAGGGGGTGCTACGCCTGGGGGTGCGGAGCCTCGGGGTACGGAGCCTGGGGTTGCTGAGCCTGAGGGTGCGGAGCTTGGGGGTGATGGGTCTGCTCGTGTGGCCTCTGTCGGTGCTGGGTTTGGAGGCCCTTCGGGTGCTTCGTCGAGGCGGGAGCTACCCTCTCCACAAAAGCTGCGCGAGTGGTTTGCTAGGCGCTGGAGCCGTGCTGCTGGAGCTGGAGATGCTAGTGTTGCTACTGACCCTGGGTTCGGCACAAGGGTTACTGGAGCCACTAAACCTGGAGGTGCTCGTACTATCGGTACTGGAGCTGCTGGGGCTGGGGGTGCTCATGGGGCTGCTAGAGTTGGTCCTGCTGGAGGTGCTGCTGGAGCTGGTGGCGGTACTGGAGCTGCCGGCTCTGCTGGAGTTGGTGCTTCTGGAGCTGATGGAGCTGAAGCTGCTGGAGCTGGAGCTGCTGGGGGTGTTGGAGCTGGAGGCGCTGCTGGCGCTGGTGCTTCTGAGGGTGCTGGAGTTGGCGCTGTTGGAGCTGGAAGTGCTGCTGGGGCTGGTGCTGCCGCTGGGGGTACTGGTACTGTCCCTGCTGGTTCTGGAGGCGCTGCGCGGCCGCGGCCGTACTTCGTTCCGCTCCTTGAGCAGGTTCTTGGTCTCCCGCCCTCTACTGGTCCTGCTCCTCCCTTAGAGTGTCCACAGACTGTCCAGTCGCGGTCATTGTTACTGCCCGCCTCCCCTCTGCCTGCTCCTTCTTCCTACACTGGTCCTACTGAAGGTCTTGCTTAGCGTCGTGAGCCTGCGTCTCGTCCTGCGTTGCCTGTCCGTGCTGCTCGCAGTAGAAGTCGTGCTCCGCGTCCGCGTCCTCCTGCGGTCCCCGGCACGCACCAGATGGCACTGCGTCCTTCCACTGCTCCTCTCCGTGTCCCGTTGCTGTCCCTTCTCCTCACAGTGGTAGTCAGCCATGGACGCAGAGATGGCTTCCTGGAAGTCCACAGGCACCTACGTCGACGAGGTTCCCCCACCTAGGGCGAACATCGTCAACGGCATGTGGATTTTCAGGGTGAAGCGGCCGCCGGGTTCTCCGCCAGTCTTCAAGGCGCGTTACGTGGCTCGAGGCTTCAGTCGGCGGCAGGGAGTTGACTACTTTCAAACCTTCTCTCCCACCCAAAAGATGACCACTCATCGGGTGCTGCTGCACATAGCCGCTCAGCGCGACTACGAGCTTCATTCATTCTCTTGACTTCAGCACAACTTTCCTACAGGGCAGTCTGCACGAGGAGATCTGGCTGCGGTGCCCACCTGGCTTCACTGGGTCGTTTCCTCCTGGTACCCAGTGGAGCCTCGGCCGACCAGTCTACGGTCTCCGCCAGGCGCCCCGTGAGTGGCACGACACACTGAGGACTACACTTGCGGCTCTTGGGTTTGCTCCTTCTACTGCCGACCCGTCGCTGTTAATGCGCACGGACACCTCTTTGCTGCCGTTCTACATCCTCGTGTACGTCGATGACTTGGTCTTTGCCACTGCCGACACTGCTGGACTTGCCCACGTGAAGTCCGAGTTGCAGAAGAGACACACGTGCACATACCTGGGTGAGCTGCGCAGCTACCTTGGTTTGCAAATCACCCGGGACAGAGCACAGCGCACCATTACCCTGACTCGGTCACAGATGGTGCAGCAGGTCCTTTAGCGCTTCGACTTTACGTACTCCTCGCCTTAGGCCACTCCTCTGTCTACTCGCCACTCGCTCTCAGCTCTACTTTTGGATGAGTCCGTAGAGCTGAGTGGCCCGTACCCAAAGCTTGTTGGCTGCCTCATATACCTGATGACCTGCACACGACCTGACCTTGCATACCCTCTTAGCATTCTTGGCACGCTATGTTGCTCCTGGCAGACACCGACCAGAGCACATGGTTGCAGCAAAGAGGGTGATGCGCTACTTGTGCAGTACGTAGGGCATGGGGCTAGTGCTTGGAGGGCGACGTTCAGTGGTCCTCACAGGTCACGCAGACGCTTCTTGGGCCAACGACCAGGCTACGCAGCGGTTGTCACAGGGTTAGACCTTCAGCCTTGGTTCCGGCTCTGTTTCGTGGCGGTCTACCCACTCGTCTTCTATTCTCGGCTCTAGCTGTGAGGCTGAGATCTACGCGGGGGCCATGGCTGCACAGGATCTACGCTGGCTCACCTACCTGCTGACTGACCTAGGAGAGCCGCCTCGTTCTCCTCCAGTTCTGTACGTAGACAACAAGGCCATGCTGGCCTTGTGTTGGGAGCATACACTGGAGCACAGAACGAAGCACATTGCTCTTCGCTACTTCCTTGTTCATGAGCTGCACCAGCGTGGTCAGCTGCGCCTTGCTTACGTGGCCTCTGAGGCCAACACTGCTGATATCTTTACCAAGGCACTTCCGCCTTGTGATCATCAGCGCTGCTGTACGATGCTAGGTCTTGTGCCTACTTGGCCTCACTTGCTCACTTCTTGACCTTGCTTGTACTGTGATCTTTCTATACCTGCACTTGCTTGTCTACCTTTATATATGATCTTGCATGTGAACTGGCCTTGTGTCCTTGAACTTGTGCTCGGAATGTGTGGTGACGTTGTGATCCACCCTGAGCTTGGTTTGCTTTGCTTGACTGGTCTTGTGACCTCTTTTTCTCTTCCACTTGCCCTATGGGGGTGTGTCAAACTCCCATGCTATAGTCTGTGTAGGGTGTCGTGGGATAGACAATATGGGGTACAACACTTTTAGGTTTTCCTACTTGTACCCACCTGTTTGCGAGTGCATTCATTCCTTGTTTCTTCACAGTGCGTTGCCCATATCAGCTTCTGCAACCCAACTGTCCTTAGTGGGGTCATATCCCTTCCAGCGTATTACAGTTCATAAAGTTGGAATTACATAATGATACTGTTCATGATACAATTCTCCATCACGGGAGAAATTGGCAAGAGTTTC